TACCTGCAATATTAAAAATCTATTATGGTCCAAGTCAATTCCATGGCTTCGCAGAAGGTTCCCAACATCCTTAAATGTTGTTTTCTTCCCACTTATGTGATAGACAGAAGTATTATCTCTGTAGGCCGTTCTAGATACATAGAAGTTACTGTTAGGAATGACTTCATAATCATCCCCTTCCTGTTTTGAGGAAAAATAAAACAAGAAAACAACTGTTGGTATCAAGTCACTGTTCTGCTTCAAATTTCACTCACTTCATACTGAAACTACATCTATACATTAAATACTTAAATTGAACATGCACACAAACTGACAGTAGTTCTCAAAAATAACCTTGCTTAGCAAATAAAAGATAGTTTTTTCAAGTTGTTTGCTTCCTTTCTCAAAGATCTCCAAAACCAAAAGCCAAACCAAGCAAACAAAAACTCCAGCCCTGAACATATCAGGACAGATAAGAACCAAGGAGTCCCACCATAACTAAAATAAACCTATTCAAATTAATAATCATGTTGACAGACCAATTATCAGTTCACATAAAAAAGCTACAAGACTAGATAATACAAGGAAAAGCAAGATAGTGATGTTGGGATATTTTGGTGGTGCTGGAGGAGGACAAGTCACTAACTGAAGTAAAAAGAATTGTAAAGAACTCACAACTCTATTCTTTGATTTTGAAAAGAAATCATATGCAAATCTACTGTAACATTAAAACTTACTTATAAGCTCAGTGATATTGAGCCTATAGCTTTTCTACTGTGGATGAATCAAATATAAACAGGCAGTGGAATAAAACTCTCATCTACATTGAAATCCAAATTATAGAATAAAATGCATTAGCAAGCAAAATCAAAATCTATTGCTTGGTGTAATCAGTGCTCTTTATATTAAAAAAGAAAGGAACGCCACCACCACCCAGTAGCTGTGTCACCTGCAGTTAAGGTTTTTTTAGATTCTATTCAGTCATTTTTGAACCATTTCCTAAGTTACTCATTAAACACATGACAATCTCCCTAAACAATACCAAATAGTAAACAATCTAAATAAGACATTTTATCAGTGCCCCCAATTCTAGATAACACAGTCATTTACCTTTCTCCCATTTCAAAAGTGTTTAATCATAGTAGTTCAAATGAAAGATCTTTCATATCACAGATACATAGGACCATTAAAAATATATTTAATATGCACTGGAATAATGAAAAATTAGTCAACCACTAAATTTTCAAGTTTAGGTAATTTTTCTAAAGTAATAAAATATAACTTTCGAAATGAACCCAAATTTATAGTAAAAGACTCACACTGAAGGTCTTCAATCTGCTCACTCTTTTATTCCCAGAGGTGAGGATTACCATTAACTAATCGTAATTTTTCCTCTTTAAGATTTTTAATGCTTTATTTTTCACAAACACCACTGCCCCCAAAGAAAATATGGTATTAAAAGAAATTATCTTTTTGCTTTAATTACAGACATTTTAAAAGGCTGATTTAAACCGGTAATGATAAAATGTATGTAATGTATTGAAGTCTTTTCTTACTTGAAGTTATACTAAGTAAAAACATAGAAACTCCTTACCTTATCAATTATCTTTTGAAAATGAACTTCTACAGTACAACTCTTAATATCCTTGTGTTCATCGGAATTATGTATTAGCACTGAAAGTTTTTTGGATCTTATTTTTTGTGCTCGATAGCCAAACACAAAAAGCATAGAATCAATAACATTGGATTTGCCACTGCCATTTGGCCCAATAATACAGGAAAAGCGCTGCATAAAAAAACAGGAAAAAAACTTAAACGGTCATAATACTACTACTCATTTTTTAATTTAAACTGCCTGCCTTTTTATTTGCAGCAAAAACTGCAAGTTAAAATTTTCATTGCTAGAAGACACACCAACCTGAGTTTTCTCACATCATAATTTCGTTTTGCAATCTCCAATGCCTTAAAATCATGTTTTAGTTTGTGTCCAGACTTTACAAAAGTCAATGTAATAGTTAACGGGAAACGTTGCTTTTAAACAAAAACATTCAATGAGGAAAACTTTATAGAAAGGTACCAAAGAGAACAGACAATTTCAGTCGTTAAATTCATTATATATGTAATGTGTGAGAGAGAGAGTGAGAGAGACAGGCAGGATAGTTATAAAATTGAAACAACTTGTAATAAAGATGTATTAACTTATAAACGATTATAAAAGATCTTACAAATGATCTGAAAAGGGCAAATACCTTATGGAAAGGTCCTAGAATTTTTTCCCCAGCATAGGACTTAAAGTTCTGGTTTACAATATGAGTTATCATAAGCCGAGGAGCTCCAGCTTCATTTGTCATAGCTGGAGGTGGGGGTGGAGGAATACTATTCAAAATCTCTTCTAAACTTCGGTTATCGAGTTGTTCACCTGGAGTCTCTAAGTCGTTCAAAGCAAAAGCAAAGAAAGGGGGAAAAAGCCTGTATTAGTTTGGAAGACTACTGCCTGCTAATATTCAAAATATAGAATGGAGAAATGTTACTTTAGAAACCTAGAAATCTCTATTTGCCATTCGAGTATACTATTATTCTAAATTCACGGGGATGCTATTTAATCTTTCAGTTTAGTTTTACTAAAGACAGAAACTCTTAAAGAAATGCCACCAGTCATAAAATCCATAGAACTAAAGTATAGTTAGGAATCAAAACATTAGATCATGAAATAGATCCGGAAAGAAAACAACAAACGAATCCCCCACTTCCTATCGTAAACAGGAGATTAAATTCTAAGGTCCTAAGTCAGATGCAGGACTCCTTATCTTTCAGCGCTTGAAAAACGCGCTTCAAGGATACTGTCATAGGGGTTTCACAATACGCATCGCTCAATTCCTAGACTCAAAAAGGTACAGCAGTTTTTAAATAAATTATCACCTCTTTAAGGGCTACCTAAGACCACAAAAGTGAGGTTAGGGTTCAGGCAAGTTTTCACATTCATTTACAGGACGCTGAATCTGGGAAAAAAGCTCACTAGCTCTTGGCTGATAGTGACGATTTCAGCGAAAATTCAGTACATATTTTGGGTCAGTTGCCTTTCAAAACGCGGCAAATTCACAACTGAAACCCCTCCGCACGCCCCATCTCTCCAACACCATAGCACCGAAACTGCACTGAGTCCTCTCTGAAAATCGCCGAATGGTTTTTCCACAGTTGCTCTCTGGAGGAGACCCTGGACTTTCAAAGTCACCGCACATCTTTGGCCCGCGCCCCACGACCCCGCCAGCCTCGGGGCTGCTCGCCGACGCACCCGGCCCCCAGGCGCGCGCTCCGGCCGAATCGCGGCGGGTCATTCACCTGCGGCGGCTGCTGGGTCCTCGGCGCGGCCGGCCGGCGGCGGCTCCTGTTCCGTGTCGCTGCTGGCGGCGTCCGGGGACGGCGGTGTCCCCTTCTCTTTGCGCCGGGCAGAGGAGGGCTGGGTGCCTTTTCGGGGCATGGTCGCTGGCCCGGAGGAAAGCGGGGAATAGGTCAGCAACACTGCCCCGCCGGACTCCGCACCAGGCCAGCCTCGGTCCGCGCCCTACTCCGCGTCGCCCGCCCTACTCGGGGAGACTTCGGTCCACCCGTTTCCAAGAGCCCCATTTAAAACTCCGCTCCGAGGCTTCAGATCCTTAGGGAAGGGGCCCCCAAAAAAAAGAAAAAAAAAAAAAAAAAAAAAGAACCACCCAAGTACAAGAAGGCGGGACTGGTTTACTTCCCCAACCCTATCAAGTTAAAAACCTAGACCTGCCTGGGAAACCAGAACTGTGCACGCACTGCGATCTTTTCTGTTTTTAAGGCTATCGTCTGCAGCACAGGCATATCACCTCTAACGCCTTTCTAAATGACCAACTCCCATTCCCACGCGCTCTGGGCGAGAGGATGCAAGCGCACTTTCCGTGCTAATTCACTTTAGCTTCAGCGTGGAGTGGCCGTCAATTCCACAGGAGGAAAAACCTCTAGGCGATTCGCCGCCCGCTTTCCTCTCCGCGCCATTTACTCTAGGTGCCCGGACGGCCCGGGGGACTCGAGGTCCCCTCGCTGGTGCAGGCGGGAGGCCGAACAGAAGCTGGGGCTGTCTGCCAGCCGCTTCGAAACGGGACGCCGGCAGCGCCGGGTCGAGTTCGGTCGCTCGGGGCGGCAGGGGTTTGTCTCCCGGGAGCTTGGGGCGGAGGCCCGCTGGACAGCGAAGCACGAAAGTCACCAGTGCAGGCGCAGACCTGGTGACCAGTGCCGCGGGGACCGGGGCTTGCCTCCCCACCGCGCCGGACCTGAGGGTTTTTGCGAAGAGGTCCCGAGGGTTGCTGCCTCCTAGAGAATCGCGTAAGCAGCCGAGGAAGAGGCGCCGGGGAGGCGCGCGGAAGCCCCCGCCGCGGGGGGAGGGGTGACAGCGAGAGACTCCCGCATAGCCTCCGCCCAGAAGTGGCTGCTCCCGCGGACAGCGCAGTGAATATGAGTGTGACAACCTGACCAGGAAAATAGGTACTTTACCTGCGGGACAGTCCGCTCAGACCGGGGCTGGAAACGGTTGTACAGGCCCACCCCCTCCCCGCTCTTACTGGTGTTTCGGCTCCGGGTCCTTCACTCGAAAATGGCGCCTAAAATACAAACTCGAACGGAAATTCGTTACAAATGCGCGCAATGATTTCTGGGATTCACTAATTTAAAATAAAGTGCAGCGATTACCACCGCCATCTTCTGGTCGCTCGTGCGCATGCGCAAGATCCTGGCGGGCTTCTGGAGGCAGGGGAAGTTTCTATTAAGTGAAAAGAAAATGTGAAGAAATGCTTTCTCTGTGGCCTAAGCAGAAGCACTGTTACAGGAACTACAGCGTTTGCAAAACCAACTTGGCAAATTTTGGCGGAAAAAAAGAAAAAAAGCGAAGGGTCCCGCCCACATTTGGAGGCGGGGCTCGGTTGTCCAATGACTCCCCTTAAAGAGAGGGCGGGCTCGATTAGGGGCGGGCACCCGGCCCCACCCCCCTGACGTAAATCTGGAAAATCTCGCGGGAAGAAGGAAGCTGGAGCCCTGCGCTTAGAAATCACTATGGTGACGAGCAGGTCAGGAAGCTTCTTGAAAACTGGTCGCTGGTCTACTTGCAGTCGCCGCTGCTTTCTTGAAACTTGAGGTAAGTCTCTTTACCTCTTAGGGGTTTGAGAAAAAGATTTGGAAGTTGTAGCCGTCACAGGATTCTACTGTCGCTTGCTTTGAGAGTGTGTGCTTCGTGGCGCATCAGTTATTTTCTGTTTCTCTGGGGGCTTTAGGGCTCTGGGGGTAGCTTTTGGGATGCGAAGGAGGAAGACCAGAGCATGAAGGAAGTAGAGGAAATACTAGAAGCCCAGGTTTAGTGAATGATTGTGTAGTTCACGTGTCAATAGCAAAATTTCGATTTTCGAATTATTAAGTAATTATTGTCATTAATGAAAGGGAATTTGGGGCGCTTAAAATCCTTTGACCAAAGCATTTCTAATGGAACAACAGTTTGCCGGGGTTATCTGGTTATCTATAAGGGAATTATGGATCAGTAATTATTTAAGTCGCTTTTTTACACATTGTACTGCACAGAGCATATTTGACAAGCACTGTAATGAAAATTCCTGTCCCAGAGTATTTAGTTTTTGTTATGGGTTTTTAATTGAGTCTATGGAACTGATGGTAGATGACTAGGATTTAGAACCCATAAATCTCCTGGAAATTATATACAGAGTTCGTGTGTGCATTTTTTTGAAGAGTCGGTTTTCTTCACATCTTTGCATTTGATCATAATCCTTCACAGTGTTAAAGAACCACTAGTTGATTTGACTACTGTATTTATTCACGACGCATATTTTTAGAACCGTTAGCCTCGTTTTTTTTTTTTATTAGGGTCTGGCATATTAGAATACCAATAAATCTTTATGAATGAGTTTACATTGTTTCTCTAAAACTAGTATGGCTCTTGCACTGAGGAGCATAAAGTTAGCTTCAGTGATTATCAGAAAGAGGTGAAGAGGAGGGGTACACTCCTTTCAGCTGTAAGCATTCGGTGGGTTTGAGAGACTGATGTGGTTTGAATAAGCCTTGACTTATTATAATATACCTTTGGGTTTTTGCAGCTGAAAAAATTGTTTTCCTAAAATAAAATACAGAAAATCTTAAAGTAATACTTAATGAAAATAATTTTGGGCTGTTCAGGATATCAGGATACTATAGAGATTCCTTTCAGGCCTCTGGAATCATTTTCATTTTCAAAGGATGTAAAACACTACAAAACCTAAGTAGAAGAGATATCAACCATGGGGTGTGAAGGAACCGTTGTAGCCCAAATTGAGTGGTAGTAATAGATGCACAAAGTAGTAGAAAGATGTACCTAGGAAAAGCTTACAATCTCAAGTCCTGTAGTTTTCACATTGTGTATTAGGACAATGTACTCAATTTATCGTTTTGCCTGAGGGGATTTATTTATAAAACCAGCATATCATATATAAGATTATTTATAATTGTTCATATAGCACATGTAAGCATTTGATGTTGCTGTGTTCATAACATTAACATTATGAGTGCTAAGGATGAATAATGGAGTGCCAAGTTAGAGGAAGGATAGCTTATGAAGCATTATGAAAGTCACGTTAAGGATATTAGATATGAGATGGAAAATACAGCTATCAGAAAAATTTTGCCTGAAGAATGACTTGGTACAAATAAGAACAATTAACAGTTATTATATGGGATGTATAAAAAGGAAAAAAGACAAATAATTCTTGGTTTTAGTAAATTAATGTTTTCTTGAATGTGGGAAGTAAGATACCAACACAGCAGAAAGGAAAAAATATGAAGTCATTTTGGGGAAAAATTTATAGCTTTTGATAGTAAGAATATACAGCTTTAAAGTCAGACAGGTACTATCTTCATGAATACTTGAATTATTGTTTAGGGGATTAAAAAAATGGTGAGTCAGAGATATATCCTAGTTGTACTGGCTTGCCAAGTTGCTATGTGTAAGGAGGGTCTTAAATGATGTGATGTGAAAGAAACGGAATTTTAATAAATCAGTTGGCAGGTGGCCTTCAATTTGATTAAACCTAACCACCTCATTCAACAAATATTTTCAAAACAAGTTTAAACCAATTTTGTAATGAAGAAAAAGCATTCATAACAAATGCATACAGAGTACTCCTAAATCAAGAGATCTGTATATACAAATGAAAATAATACATTCAGAATACACGTAATTTTTGAGTTGGTATTAAGGTCACAGTAAAGATTTTGGTTGATTGTTGACAGTACTTTGTATCCTCTTGTGAAATTAACGGTCTAATTATAAGAAGTTAGTCCACCTGGAAAAGATTGGATTACAACCATAACCCCATCATTGGAAACTATACCCTTGTCGAATCTAGGGCACCAACAATACTTATGCAGTGTGAATCAAAATACATAGTGAATGCTTTTTAAAAAAATTTAAAATTAATATAGTAAAATACACATTATCCTTAATTCCCATATGTATAATCTGTTTCAATGCACATACACTTATCCCATCATTGTTGCCATTTTGAGCTGTGGAAGTCTTTTGTGTCTTTTTAAGGTGTGATCAAAAATATGGTGAATGCTGCTGCAGAGTGCCATCCAGTGGAAAGGCCGGCTTGGAAAAACATTATGGTGTGTCCTCATCTGTTTTATTCACCAAATCTGACGCCATTTGACTTCTGGCTCTTCCCCAAACTCAAAATGATCATGAAATGGGAAATGTTTTAAATCAATTCAAAGAAGCAAAGCATTCAGCACAACTAAGACACAAAGAATGCTTCCAGAACTGCTTCAGATAGTTGAAACAATTATGGAATAAGCGTGTTCAAAGTGAGGGGAAGTAATTTGAGAGAGATTAATAGCAATGTGTCTTTTAATATAATACATTTTAACATTTATACATTCATAGTACTTGTTGATCACACTTCATAGCTGCAATTTCAGGCAATATGAGAAAAGAAGCCTTATTTTTTATACTACAAAAGCAAAATTATATCACACATGAAGAAATAAGCTTTGATAAAAATTTGACTTAGAATTAAAATCCTTCCTTACAATTTTTTAAATGCAGTTTTATAAAAATTCTAATGCTTTAACTTTTAAAAACTTTTGAGAAAGTCTGAAATGAAATTTCTCAGCAAATGTTAAAAGATTATAATAGCGAATATTTAAATAAATTGGATATTAACTAATAAAAACATGAATTTATATAAATAATGTATAAATACTTAGATAATATTGTTAAATTTTAATAAGTTGGATAGAGACATAGTACAGGTAGAAATGAATATCCCTGTTGATGATATAAATCCCTAGGTTTTGAATATAGCTTAATGGTAGAGTGGTTACTTAGATATTTGAGGCCCTGAATTCTATCCCCAGCAGAAGCAGAGTGAGATAGAAATACATTGTAAGTTTCCTAGTGTGTTAGTTTTATTGGATCTCTGAGCTAACATTACAAAAAATAAACCAAAGCAAAACAAAAACTTTGGGAAACTGGGAAGTAGAATAGTTGTATTCTGGAAATACCATCTTGTTTTTATTCCTGTAGGTTGGAATTATGGAAAGACTTATTCAACTGATAGAAGAAGTAGAGAATATAGGTCAGAGAAAATAGGGTAAGAGAGTGTCATAAGAGTAATTGAAACTCTAAAAATAGGTTACATTTTTAAGGTTAATAAATGGGGAGAGACTAGCACCAGAACAAGGTTATTGAAGTTGTTTTCATTTTTAGAATCTAGGAAAAACATGTAATTACACTAATGTCTAAGATATATTACAAGCACTGGAGAGTCTAAATTCAAATTTGTTGTGAGAAAAAAATTCTGTATATTGTCTGTTAAATGTCAGGCGATTAGAGCTGGGGCTGTTCAGTGGTAGGGTGCTTGCCTAGCAGGCATAAGGCCCTGCATTCCATCCCCAGCTGGTGGGGGTGGTAGGAGTGACTATAACTGCTGGATTCAGGGCTCACCAAATAAACCACCATCTGTATTTACATTCATGTAGTGCTGCTGCATGTTGTGATTAAAAAAAATAATGCTTAAATTACCAACGTATTACAGGAAAATATACATTAGTATTAATCCCTTTCAAAATACCTGCTGCTCTCAAACAGTTACTCCATTCTTGCCATTTTCTGAACCTACTCTGAAGTCCTCTTTTATGAGTGTTTAGTGGTGCTGTTATGGCTGTCCTGATGTCCTGAACAGATTCAAACTGTTTACCCTTAACAATTACCTGTAATGGTAACTGTTTTTGACCTTAAGAAGAATCAGAAGTCCCATGGGGCTGATTTGTTCAGTAAGGTGGATGAGGACACACCATAATGTTTTTGTTTGGCAGAAATTGCCATTTACTTTTTGAATCCATGAAACGACATCAGAAAAAGGAGTTCTAGAATTGTTTCAGAAGGTGGCAAGAATGATGGGATAATTGTGTTCGAAGCAAGGGGAGTGTTTTCAGGCTTGTATCTTTTAGTGTGATAAATTTCTAAAAAATTTAAACATTCATTGAGTTCATTGATCACACCCTTTATATTCTGACTCCATGTTGTGGCTTGTGATACCTCTAGGCTTTTTTCTTGCCGTGGTAAGAACTACAGGAACTCCAGCCTCAAATCCTTTAAAATTAAAGACCAGGGGCAGGGGGTCAGTCTATCATTTCCCTGAGCTACCTGTGAAACAGTCACTGTCCTGAAAGAATGGAAGGCTCTACTTGACCTAAGTGTAAGCATCATTCTGACTCTATTCAAGTCACGTAGGATAAGAATGAAAAAGCAGTTATTCCATAGACAAATTCTTTTTATCTAGGAAAAGAGTCAATATATGTTAGGCCTCCAGTTGGACTCGTGGGAGGCACTGTCATGGGCTATAGGTCTTCAGCTGGACTCATGAAGGACATTTCTGTGAGATCTAGTCTCTGGTCTGAATTTTCTAGGTCTTTTAGTGTTGTGGCCAAATTTCTGCACTTTCTTGTATTTAACTCTGGGTACCCATCATAAAATAATATAAATTCTGTCCTGTATGTAATGTTCTCCTTACAACCCCTGAATATCATGATTGGGAATTCTAGGATATCCTGGGCTATATAGTAAGTTCAAGTCATGGTCTCAAAGATGGTGAATATTTTCAGTAAATTACCTAAATTTCAGTGGAGCACATGTCCAAAAAGAGAAAGATCATAAAACATGTGCAAGATAGAAAGTTGCAAAGCAAAAAGATAACTATAAATAATATAAACACATAATGCACATAAGATGGCAATTTAGGAGTAAATTTGATTGCTAAAATTATTTCTTGAAACTGCTCCACAGTAGAAAGAAAAAGAGTAACACTAGACTATGGCTATTAATCGTAGCCAGAATTGTGAAGAAACATAAATACTGAACTTTATACATGCACTATGATAACTGCATGCAGGTATTGGAGCGCGTGAAGATTGGAGGTCTTTACTAGTTGAGCTACACTGCCATTTTTCAGTCACGTGTCTTGACTCTGTGCCTGGCATTGGTTAATCTGTTCCTGTCTCTGTCCTACCATATGGGAGATCTTAGATTTAGTCTGCAAGCAGCTCCGTGATAGACTATTCGAATAAAAAACTGCCACTTCCTTATTTCTCTACTCTACATGTGAGTCTGATTAGAGTTATCAGCTTAGGGAAACTTTGATGAAAAATGCAGTTTTTAAAAATACTGTCTTGTGTGGTCATGGACAAGCCTAATGTATTTATTAATAACAATCTTCTAGGGTTATCCAATATGCAACTAAATAATGAACTTGGTAAAATATGCTGATGATTCCTCTCATTCTTGTTTGCTCACTTGCAGTTTTTGCCACTTTATATTTCTATAGGTACATTCTTGTCCACAAATCAAGCCTTTCCTGTTTACTGCCTAAAATCTTTCTACTTAGTGCTTTACTGCATAGTTATTTCTTAAATCTGATTCTTTTTTTCTTTCTTTAAGCTATCTTAATCTTTTTTTTTTACCATGTTAATCTTTTTAAGTGTACACTTCAGTAGTATTAAGTACATTAACTCTGTGTGCTGTTGGTTGCCTTCATCTACAGAACTTTTCATCTTGCAGAACTGAAACTCTTCACCCATTAAACAATAACTTGCCATTTCCCCCTTCCCCTTATATCCTGGAAGCCACCATGCTACTTTTTGTCTCAAGAATTAGACTACTTTTGGTGCTTCATCTATGTAGAACCATACAGTGTTTGTCCTTCAGTGACTGGTTTATTTCAATTAACATGATGCTTGGGTCTTAATTCTTAATTTTCTTGTTTCTAACTCTGTTCCATGTTAAAGCCACATATTCGCACACAGAGGTGTGGAATCTATGATGAACTTACATTTTTACAGGTTCAGTATCCCTTACCCAAAATATTTGAGACTAAAAGCTTTTCATATTTTGATTATTTTTATGTACTGGAATAATTATATATATATTTGAGATAGCTTGTGTGTTACCCCAGAATCTAAAAACACTTATTTAAGCTTCATGTGCACCTTATACATGTTGCCTGAAGTTAATTTTATACAATATTTTTAGGCACCTCTATTCTGACATTGACTTGTCACATGAGGACAGGTATGGAATTTTCAACTTGTGACGTCATATGACATTTAAAATGTTTTGAGTTTTGGAGCATTTTGGATTTCAGATTTCTAGATTTAGGATTTTCAGCTTCTTCTATATAGTTTATAATGAACATGTTTAGATATGGATTCTGGTATACCTTGGTGTATATATGGTAAATTCTGATTACTAGGAGTTCTTCTCAGGGAAGAGTCCTTTTTAACAACACCTCCTTCTTTGAGTCAGTCACGTCTAATTCAAAATATGGCACAGATATCAAATTGTCAGAGCCCGTATCCTAACTGTAAGGAAGATGAAAGGGAAGTTGATTTTTAAAAAAATTTTAGTAGTTGTTTTTTTTTTTCTTTTTGTAAATTCAAAATCGCTACCATAATTTATCTTGTTATCTTTGAAATAGCTGCCAATGCCATCAGATGCAATAAAATCAAACAACACAGAACAGAACAGAATTTAACCCAGTGGAACAATGAAAGTGATACAGGACTTCAAAACAAGATAATAGAGAATCAACAATGGCGACCACCCTCAGAAGGAGATCCCCCAAAATACTAAAGTGTGTATTGCCATCCTCTGAATAGGTGATCAGAGAACCAGCTTTAGACTTGTTAAGTCAGTGAAACAACTAAACACTACAAGCATTAAATTGTATTTTACCTCAATAGCCATCATCACAGTCTGCATTTCTCTGGATCAGCTGGTCACTTTTAGAAGGGTGGTTGGTTCTTCTGGCTTCCCAGCCTGCATGCCAGAAGTGGCTGGCATCTGGCTCTCCCCAAAGTGGCCTATGCATGATGCCAGTTCGCAGGGAAGGCTTGCTTCTTGGTGACTTCTTGTTCTCCGCCTTTACAGTCCGTGAATGGCACTGACCCATGGGAAAAGGCTGATGTCTGGCTATCCCCGCAGTAGCCTGTACATGGCGCCGATTTGCAGGGAGGGCTTGCTTCTTGTTTTCTTCTCCTGCAGACCCTGTTGTTGTTTTTTTAATCATGGGGAAAAGGTCAAAGGGAAAAGGTCAGTTCCGAAAATATATAGGCGTGATAGTACCAAATTTACCTGATTTGTAATTCTATATAAATATGTTAGTATCCCAACAATGGGTTCTGAGTATTTTTAATTTGTTTACTCTGATAATAGAAAAATGGTATCTGGTTGTTCTAGTTTTCATTTTTTTATAATTGAAGCTAGACATTGTTTTGAGTTTTTGATTCATATATTATATGTATTTATGTTTCTGTGAATTGTCAGTCTGTAAGTTTTTAAAAGTAGAAATACCTCATCCACCAATGACTTTGATTAAATGACTATAAAGGACTTCTTTTAGTTATCATCTATCTCTGTGGTATCCCTAATATATCTCCATTATTGATTCTCTGTCCTTTGCCTCCAAATATACTGAAGTCTACCTTGATTTAAAAGGCCTTTATTGATGCTATTCTATTTCTTTCCTTTAACATCTGTATTTACCTACATATATGTATATACATATATATGTAGATATGTACACATTTTCTATCATCTACTTACATATTTACTGTGAGTTTAAAGAATTGGCTAGTGTGACTGTGGGAACTGACATCTACAGGGCAGTGTTACCCAGAAGGTTAGAAATTCAGGTGGTAGTTGATATTGTAGTTTTGATTCTGAAAGATGGAAGCTCAGGCAGAATGTCTGTGTTGTGAACTGAAGGCAAAATTTCTTCTTTGGGAAATGTCTGTCTTTGTTCTTAAAGTCCTCAACTGCTTGAATGCAGTTCACTCATGTCATATAGAGAAATACATTCTACTTAAAGTCATTGGTTATAAATGTTTATCACTTGTAAAAGTAACATTTACAGCAAAATTCAGACTAGCATTTGCCAAAAAAAAGTAGGCATCATAATCTAGCCACTTTGACATATTAAATTAATCATCACAGTGGGAGTCCTGATCAATAAGTGCTTTTGACACTGTCATAAGAATTTGTTTGAGTGCTGAATGAGATAGGTTAAAACAGTCATGTTGTCTGTCATTGCATAGATTGTTGTGGGTACAGGAGACCAGTTGGGAGCTATTGTAATAATTCTGGTTAGTAGTTGATGCCATACAGGCATCATAGCAGGGGGTTTGCCTTAGTTTTCTCTCATTGCCAGACAAAATACCTGACACCCATAGTAAAAGGAGGAAAGGTTTATTTAGCTCGCAGTTTGCAAAAGTTTCAGTCCATAATTGGCTGGCTCCAAGGCAGAATGGCACTTGGTGGAGGGGCAAAGTTCATGGTGATGGAAGATAGCAAAAGTAACAAGAACAAAAGGGGAGAAACAAGCCTTTTTCCTCCCATATATTGTATGCAAGCTACTCACTTTAGGGCGGGTTTAGCACTCACACCCCAAGTCCCAGTACTAGACAATGAATCAATCACAAACTTTAGATTCAGCCTCCTTTAAAAAGTTTGCCTCTATGACCATGCATGAGGTTTGAGGGGATATCCAAACACAAACCATAATGGAGTAATGAGTGCTTTGAATATACAGCCAACAATTTTTCCAACTTGGATTTGGGGTATGAAAGAAGAGTCAGTGATGAGTCTGAGATTTCCTGGCCTATGCATCTGAAAGAATGGAATTGCCAGGGGCTGGGGATTTAGCTCAGCGGCATAAGCACCTGCCTTACAAGCAGGCGGTTGTGAGTTGGATCCCCGGTACGGATAAAAATGAAAAAGACAAAAAAAAAAAAAAAAAAAAAATGGAATTGCCATTTACCAAGGTGGATAGCACTGTGGGAAGAGCAAAGGTACAGAAAAGATCAGAGATCTGATAGAGAACCAGTTAAGTTTGAGATGATTATTAGAAATTCAGAGTTGTCAAAAAGTTTAGTGGAAAGATATTAACTGGTGACATGAAATTGAGAGTTGTTACTATACAGTGAATATATTTGAATTGTAAATGATGAAACTTTGTGAGTTCACATATAAGACCCAGAAATGGTACAAGGTCTGAACTCAGAAACTGCTTTTTCTGTAGACATGTAGGGGCTGTTTTGCCTCCCAGGATCCCATTGTGCCACTGTGACTGGAAACTTGATTTTTTCTTCTTTCTATTTGAGACTTAATCCCTTTGAAACAACTCCTACTAGATTAGGGTTAGGGTTGGTATCCACCTTCTTTTTTTACAATCACCTGCAGATGTCTTTGCTATTTCTACTCATTCAATGAATATCATAGCAATGAATTGCTTGTCTCTTCTCTCCCCTTCTATTTTTACTATTCTCAGTGATTTAAATATCCACATATCACCATAACCTTCTCTGTCCTCAATTCCTCGACCTTGGCCACCCACTCCTTTGTTCATAATTCCTCCACTGCATTCTTAGTTCATTTGGAAGAAAAACTGGAACTTTTATTGTGACTTTCCAAGAGCCTACATAACTTGTGTTTCCTTTCTTTCCTGATTTTCTTTTTACTCGCTTTGTTTTAACCACACTGACCTTTGTATTTCACTGCCTTGAAAGGAGCTACTATTGTATGCATTTATATAGATAAATTTTTTCTTATCTGTTGTCGTTTTCAGAAGCAGTAACTTTCTGACTTTATTCTTTTAAAATCCTTGTAATCTGAGTAAATTTGAATTATAATGAGCAAACTGCCTTTTATAAAGTATAATTGGAGACCATCTGGTGGAAGAGAAAGGTTTTTTTTTTTTTTTTTTTTTTTTGTCTTTTTCGTTTTTATTGGTACCAGGGATCGAACTCATGACTGCCTGCTTGCAAGGCAGGTGCTTATGCCGCTGAGCTAAATCCCCAGCCCCAAGAGAAAGGTTTTTGTTGTTCTGTTTTTGTTTGTTTGGTTTTCTTTCTTTCTTTTTGTCCTACTGGGGTTTGAACCCAGAGTTTTTGCACTGGACTTTGCACTGTCCTCACATGTTTTCCTTTTTTAAAAAAAATAATTGATTTAAAAAAATTAATTTAAAAAGTTTAACACCGAAGATGGTGTTTTGCCAAGTTGCCAAATTCCTGAGACTGGGTTTGAACTTAGAATCTTTCTAAGATTCTAATCAGCATCTCAAGCTAAGGAATTTTAAGAAAGATGAAAAACTCCTAAGGACAAAAAACTGAGCTTGTGAATTGTGCTTGGGAGAGATTATATTCTGCCTCTGGTTGTGCTATCAATAGTTTTCATGTTTCATTTTTGTTGATGGTTTTTCTGAGACCTGTTTTCAGTATGTAGCCTACACTGCCCTGGAACTTGCACTCCTCCCGCCTTAGCCTCCTGTTTTTTTGTGTGAGATTGCTCTCACTATGCTGAGATTGTAGATGTGTGCTACCAAGCCCAGATCCAGTTTCACAGTTTTGAACATCAAGAGAAATCCTCTAAGAGTCCTAGAAGAGAGAAAAGTGAAAAGAATGCTTTGGAATATAGCTATATTTATTCTTCCGTGGTTCCTGGATTATGGGGACAGATATTTTCTAAGGGAGAAAGTTCTTATTGAATTCTTATATATAGTAAGCACAATTCCTTTGATGTAGTTAGAAGTAATTTTCTACTTGGAAAAGAGATTTTTTTCACCTTTAATTAATTTTCATTTGATTTAATTTATTTAGATTTGTGATAGTATTTAAAAAGAATTCTGTAAATGCAAATTGGACTCAGACAATTTAGCGTTTTCTTGATTATGTGGTGATTTAGCGGATGTTTTCTTTTTGCAGGTTTTCATTTGGTAATTACACTATGATTCTTATACAATTTTTTTTTTTTTTTTTTTGTGAGTTGGCCTCTTACTATGCCTTGAATGCCTGTACTTCAGTAGTCTTGCTGAGTAACTGAGACTGGAGTCGTGTGCCATCATGCCCATCTTATATTACATCTACAAGTTATCTATTATCTCTTCCTTAACGAATTCATTCATTTTTCATGTTGCAACTATGGTAGCTACAATTGTTGGGCCACTAGGTTGATAATGTTTTGTTAACATTATTATTCTAGAATTAAGGCTTTTAAAAATAGAGTTTTGCTACTAGACCATATGAATATAGTTGATAACCATTAGACAGAATCAAAATTGATCTGTGATTTCACAGTTCCCTTTTTGCAGAATCTTTTGATTGGCCTCAGAACAGGTTTTGGATATTGTTTGGTTGACCAGATTTACTTAGTGTTGTTCTAGATTGGAAGGACTGTCTCAGGCAGATTATAGAAGACTTCTGGAGTTCAACCCAAGGTTCCCCATTACCTCTTGGCAGGATTGGCACAATCACTAGTTTTCTTCCTCTTTCTGTATACTTAAAGCCAGAGGATTAGAGTTATTGTGGTTCTTCTTGGGGTATTTTATCTGCTTTTTCTTTTTTCTTTTTCCTGTACACGTACATTTTGTCTTTGCTGCTCAGTTATGTTTTTCTCCTTTTATTTTTACAGTGAATACAATCAAGTGGCAACTTAAAATTTTACTGGAAGTGGAGACATGAGACTGAAGATATCTCTTTTAAAAGAACCAAAGCATATCCTTTTAATATTTACAAACTATATTGTAATCACCTGATGATAGTATTATTGAACAGTTTTTTTTCCAGTTTTTTAATCTAGAGAATGGATTGATTTTTTAAAAACTTTTTGGAGTTTCTGTGCTGCTGAAGCAAGCATTTTTTTTTCATTTTTAATAGTGGTTTAGCAAAATTGTTTTTGAAATATTTGAGATCATATGTTGTAGGTACATTTCTCCAAACTGTTTGTTCTAAACCTTATTTTGAATTTCTTACTCAAGTATTTTCCTTAAGTGCTTGAAAAGTAGTCTTTGTTTAGTTTCATAGTTTAATATATTTTTTAAAAGTATATAACTTCTTTGTTAGTGTGAACTCATAATTGAAGTTTTGCACTCTGTAGAGGACAAGCTAAGGAAAGCTGAGAAGGAAGATTCTTTATTTTACAGAGGAGTGTGGCAATTGTTAACATTTCCTTAAATACATGATTCTGTATTTTGTCAGCAAGAGTCTTCAGTAATGTGTCAAGATGTGACTGCCCACATTTAGACTAGTTCTCAAAACACTATTTGTAGACTTTATTGCAAGTCTGTTAAGGGGTAAGGAAATTGAAAGTGAGAGGTGGGGAATTTTTGTAGCAATTTATCATTATTGTAACATCCAGACATAAGATAATTCATTTTAATTTTTAAAAAATGTTACTTTATATTGCTGAGGATTGAACCCAAGGCCTCAAACATGTTAAGCATGTACTGTACCACTGAATCACATTTCCAAGCCCACACTTTAATTTTTTTTTTTTTTTTTTTTTAGGTACCGGGAATCAAACTTATGACCTGACACTTGCCAGGCAGGTGCTTATGCCACTGAGCTGAATCATCAGCCCAACACACTATAATTTTATAAAATGTTAGTTTGCAGTGGATTCAAAATAAAGACAACATGGTCCTTTATCAAAAATAGAAAGTGCTGATTTAAACATCTGATCAAACCTTTTGATATTAGGGGCTGAGGATTTAGCTTAGCAGCATAAGTGCCTGCCTTGCAAGCAGGCAATCGTGAGTTCGATCCCCAGTACTGATAAAAAGGAAACACCAAAAAAAAAAAAAAAAAAACCCTTTTGATATTTATATGTTATCATTTGTACTATTTGTTCTAATTAATTCTTAAGTAAAGATTTAATTTATCTTCTTTTTAATGTGTACTTTAAGGAATTTATACTATTCACAATGTATTTAATTTTCTTTTGTTTTTTGGGTTAGGGTCTCACTATGAAGTTCAGGCTGATCTTGAACTCACGGTGATCCTTTTGCCTCAGCTTCCCGTTAGCTGGGGTTACAGATAAACTCACCTATGCCCAGCCATACACAATTTTATAGATGCCTACTATTTGCTTTTGTATTTTAAAGCTCAAGAATAACTCCTTTTAGAATTTCTTGATCTAGCAGTACTTTAATTTCTCCCATAATTTTAGGTGACCTATTTGATGGTAACTTCTTGCACATCTGATATATTTATGGTATTCATAAAAAGATAAAATAATGTCTTTTGATTTGAGATATACATATGTATTTCTCACTTTCTAGAATTTACTGTATTCATTTATAACTTTTAGAAACCTTGTTGGGAATACAGCAATTATATTGGAGCAGTTTTTCAGTCATGGTCTAGTGGTCCTTTTGTTAACATTGTGTTTCAAATAATATTTCACTTCCACTATAGTACCTCTTTATGAGGACTCTTAAGGACTTCTTGTAATCTTTTAGTCTTTCTCATTTTTGCTTACTCTACCATATTTTGAAATAATAAATTTTTGAACATCTCAAAATAACTGGCGCATTGTCTGTTTCCTTGGAAAAAATTTGATTGCACGGATAAACCAAAAAAGCATTGAGAAAAGAGAATAAAGTAAAAGGATTGCATAATAATAAGACAGGAAACAACCCAACCAGGAATGACAGGTCAATTTAAAAATACCAATGTAAACAAGAAGAACCATTCTATATAAAAGATAGACCGAAATACCTTCTCTAGGTATACAGCTTGTCCTGATGGAGGATATGACAGCTACTTTAGCATCTCAATTTTCATGGAAATTCTTCTGATAATTCACGAACTAACAAATTAGGTTAAATAAAGGATTTTAGAGGTCATATTTTATTCCCGACTATGCATCTGATGGGTATAATAAATTGTAGAATTATATTTTGACTTTAATATTTAAAAGTTGGGTATTGTCAATTGAAAATAAATAATGAAAAATAGGTGGAAAGTTTGGTAAGATTTATCTTCAGCTATTAAGCCATGATTTGTTCCTCTAGGTGCATTGTTCTTACAATGTGTGATTTAAAATGATGTTTTTCAGTCATCTTTTAATAGTTGATTTAAAAAAAAAACTTGCCAAAATAATACATCCCTTCTAATAAATGCTACATATCTAGTGTAGTTGTTTTTTTCATATGTATATCCTAATACTTTAGATCATTTCCTGCCCTTTGATCTATTGGATTTCTTTCGTGTATCTTTTGGCTATGTTTAAGAAATGTTTTGTAACACAAATTTAAAATTTTTATGAAGCTAAACTCCCCATCTTTGGCATCTGACTTTCTTTCTTGCTTTCTATTTGGACAACAGTTTTTATAGATGTTTAATTTCCATTATATGGAAAAACATCAAGATCATAAAGTGCAAACTACGTTTAGAAGCTTAAAAACATTTGACTTACTTTATTCTATAATCCACATCTGTGAATTTGTTAATTTTTTGAGACTTTTTTATTTTTATGCTTCCTTAATATGGCATCACATCAAGAATTAGTAAGCTGTGTGGGCTGGACTACTGCTGAAGAACTGTATTCATGTAGTGATGATCACCAGATAGTGAAGTGGAACTTGTTAGCCAGTGAAACAAGTCAAATAGTAAAACTCCCTGATGATATTTACCCTATAGATCTTCACTGGTTTCCAAAAAGTTTAGGCACAAAGAAACAGACTCAAGCAGAAAGTTTTGTTCTCACAAGTTCTGATGGTAAGTTAATGTTATGATGCTGGTCTTTGTATTTAAAAGACAGAGTATGTTCATGTGACTTGTGGTTTGAATTGTTTTATAAAACTGACATTTGTGGATCTGCATACTTGCATTCGCACATCTTATTCATTTTCTACTTCGTCATTTGGTTTGTGTTTAGGCCATAGAATTATTGTTATTGGAAGAAGTGAATTAAACTGGATTATAGTAGTATTGAATCTAGGCCTTTGGCTTTACTCTCATTGTGCTCTTATGAGTTGATTTTAGCTGTTATCATAATTTTGGGTTCTAATTTCTTCACATTTGACTTAATAACATAAGCACATTAAAAAATATGGGTATACTTACTCATTTAGTCAGGTATCTATTAAATATATCCTTTATTTTCTAGCTCATATTAATATCCAGGTACAGAGTAAAATTTATGTAATTTCACCGTAGTTTTGTTATTAGTGAATAGAATTTCTTAAGTAATCTTTTTATTTTGGCTTCTTAGAAATACTTAAACTATTTTTATCTGTACTGTATTTTGTATACCAAATGCAGGTATACCGATTATGAGTACATTCATTTTAAGTAACAGAAACTTGGCAAATTTATGTGCAAATTTTTTTTTTTTTTTTTTTTAACCTAGCTCTGGGAGTAGATCTTCAAGCTGCCCAAGACTCTGCAGTTCTGTTTCTTGAATAGGATTTCTCTTATCCTTATTGATTTATGTTTTAGATATGTGAAACATTAATAGGGATGGTTCTACAAAGTGAAAACTACAGTGTATCAAAATATGCAGAATAATGTCGCTAACCTCATCCACCCAATTTCATACATTCTGTTTCTATTTTTTTCCTATAGGTGACTAAGCTCTTTAGTTTTGGTTTGTCTATCCTGTGTTTCTTTAGTTTTGTCACATATACATTACCACATTTTCTTTGCATTTTTTAAATTCAGTAGAATATGAGCATTGACTTCTATTTGGTAAATTTGTTAAGATAATTAGTCTATTTGGTAAAATAATTAGTCTTGATAATTTCTATGGTCTGTTTATCTGAATTATTCAGATTACCTAGTCACAATTAAATAAATATTCCTTGTATGTCTAGTTCACATTGGCTTTAGACAAAAGATTGTCACAGTGGAAAAAACATCTATACTAAAACAAATGTAATTTGAAAGACAGATATGCAAATATAATATGAAAAAATGTGACTTGAGAAACTATAACATTTGGTTTTATTTTCGTACTTTCTATTCAAAATAAAATAAGAAAGCATGCCCCAATTAGATGTGGGGAAAAAAGAGAACCAAATATTTTCTCCCAGGCTACGATGAGGGGTCTTGTAGAAGGCAGTGAAGAGTGATATCAAAGAGAAGAAGTAGGATGAGACAGAAAATAATATCCATGAATAAAAAGAAGTGTTCAGGGAAGAAGGTGGATGCCATTGGGATATTGTCAGTGGGTCTCCCTAGGAAAACATCTGAAGTCATTCTACTTCTTTGTTTTTATTTTAGTGATACTGAGGTTAGAACCAGGGCCTTCACACTGAGCTACACTCCCAACTTTTTTGAGACAGAACCTAAGTTGCTGAATTTCCCAGGACAGGCTTAAATTTTTGATCATTCTTCTTAGTCTGTAGTACCACACCCCTGTGCTATGTTCTTTTTTAACCCACTACATTTTAAAAAATTTATTTTGAGCAACACAAGTGAGATCCATTCTCTTAACAAATTTTTAAATATGCAGGACAGTATTGTTAATTATAAGCACATTGTTTTATTTTAGTCTCTGAAACATGTTCATGTTGCTTGATGTTAACCCAGCACTTAAAAAATTTCCTCTAGCTCATTCCTCAAGAGGTTCTCTAGTTGCCTGTCACTTTTTCCTCTTGACTTTTGTCCTCAAGGCTGGCAGAAGAGGAAGTTATATTTTTAAATTTGTTCATTACTCTTTCAGTGTTCCCCTTTCTGACCCCCTTCCTCTTCTGTATTTATGACATCAAGTTTTAAAAAAAATTGTGAGATTTGAGGGAGGTCCAAAAATGTATAAGCAAACTTTTGCCAAGTATTTTGTCTTACCAATACTTTTCTCCGCTAGGTTATTTTCTATTTTTAAATAATAGACACAGCTGTATTCTGCATTTTAGAGATGTTCTTTAAAAATGTGTTAAAGATTTACATTTTTAAAATAATTGAATTATTTAATATGTATTAGGGAGACTGCCATGTAAAAAGAATTCAAGAATAAAATGATTTTTGGGAGGTGTGAATATCTTTTGTAAAGCCACTAAACACTTGTTATATTAGGGAAAATTGATTTTTAAAAACATTTTATTAGATATTAAAAATTTTTGCTATATATTCACTTAAAATCCACTTTAAAAAGAATTTGTATGTTTATCTTTTGTATTAGAAGTTACTCATTAGAATCACTCTGACTTTTGCTGCCATCTGCCAAAACATTTCTGCTATGAGCAGTCTGCAAAAGTGCTTGTATGCTCTTTTTGCTGGTATTCTATTCCAAGCCTTCTTGTTCTCATGGGCTTTCTTAAGGCATTTGGACCCTTTAAAATGTTTTTCATAGATTTTACTGTCTTTGTTCTTTTGTCATTTATAAATAATTTGGTTTATTCTGAAATGTTGGGGTTAATTTAATGTAATTATTTAATGTGTTTGTTTTATTTCTCAGTGTTTAAATATCTATTCCTTTAATCCAGATCATCTACTACTTGGTTAATAAATGAATCAGTGAGACTTCCTGATTATATTTTTTCTCAACCCCAACCCCCAAGCAAGTAATTAGAAATAAATTAATCTATTGTTTTAGTCTTGCAGTTTCTTTTATATCTTTAGGAAATTAAGCCCAAGAATTCACACCTGGCACTTTCTACAATTTTTTTAAAAGTCACAGAAGGCCTCTATGGTGGGTGGTATGCTCCTCCCAGCACTCAAGAGGCTGAGGCAGGAGGATCATAAATTCAAGGCCAACCTTGACTACATCCAAGTCAGTCTCAACTACATAGTCAGATGTTGCCTCAAAAAAATAGAGAAGGACTTGTAGAGAAGAACTCAGATAGTTAAATGGATAACTATGGGTTTTTACAAGCACTATTGTAAATAAACTATAGGTTGATTTATATAACTTTGTATTTCTTTCTAAATCTGGATTTGCTGTTTAAATGGTTTGTAACAATGCAAATAACAAATCTATGCAGAAAGATGACCTCACTTGTCGTTGTCCACAGAGGTTTTCTGTGGGATTATGAAAAGCTGAAGTAATATTTGCTCTTGTCAGAAAGTTAGTGTTTTAGGGTACAAAATATCAGTATTTAAATACAAGACTTTCTAAAAATTAGAATAGATTCAGAGACAATTTTTAGACTACATCTGATCAAATGTTATTTTGTTACTCTGATGGATTCCTTTATTAACTGCAACAGTATTTTATTATTTGTACTGTATTTTATGTGCCAGTCATGCTAGCGTTTATGAAACAGACTTGAATAAAGTAAATAATGGCCACAGGGTTAACTGGTTAACTATATGTCTTTGGTTCTTTCCTTCCTTCCTTCCTTCTCTCTCTCTCTCTCTCTCTCTCTCTCTCTCTGTCTCTCTGTTTCTCTGTCTCTCTTTCTCTTTTTCTTTTGTTTTTTGAGACAAGATCTCACTGTGTAATAGTTTAGACTGGCCTTGAATTTACTGTGTAGCCAAGGTTGGCTTCAAACTCTCGCTATTCTTTGTGTCTCAGACTCCTGAGTGCTGGGATTACAGAAGATTGACCCTGCACATGATACTATATATCATCTTTATATATAGTTTCATCTTTATATATGATTTCCTCTTTCAAGGTTATTTTTCCCCTTGTATTTTCTTTGTAAGGTAGAGTGTTAATAAGTATGTCATGTTTTATAAAGTAATATAGCACAATTGATTTCAGAGTAATCTTGTTACTTTAGAAAAACCACACAGCTGTGAGTATAAAGTTAAAAGAAAGATATAAGGAAAAGTAGTTGGTGTCACTGGGTGGCTTGATGAAAGACAAGAGTAACTTATGGTTAAAGGCCAAGAAAATGAATGATGAGAGAAAAAAGCCTTTAAAATTAATGGGAAAGAAAAGGCTGTTAAAAGTATACTGAATCGGGGGCTGGAGATTTAGCTCAGCGGCATAAGCACCTGCCTTGCAAGCAGGCAGTCGTGAGTTTGATCCCTGGTACTGATAAAAAGGAAAAAGACGGGAAAAAAAAAAAAGTATACTGAATCAGTAAAATTTAACAAATGCTGGCTACACAAAACCACTATTGCAAATAAAAATGAGTAAGATGTGGTCCTGGCCTGAAAGAAATTATAGCTTAATAAAAATGCTGTAACAGTATTAAATTAAAAAATTTGAGACTAACAGGTTTCTGGAATGAAGGGGTTTATTAAGCCATAACAGACACTAGTCAGAAAGAAAGAACTGGCCCTGAGACAGATTCCTTCCACCAGCAGCAGCAAGGGAAGGCAGCAGCTAGGGAAATGGCCATTGTATCTAAAGACTGAAGTACTTTATGTTGAAAAGCTGGGGAAGGAATCTCAGGTTAGTTATACTTGGCTATTTAGAAAAGGGGCAGTGTTACTCAGAGGGGCAAATATTGCTATGTATATTACCTGTTTTAAGTGCTGGAGAGGAATCTAGCACACTGAGCATGCTAAAAAAGTACTTAATCACTGGGCTATATTGACCCCCTACTCTATTACATATATTTTTACTTTTTTTTTTTCATCGGTACTGGGGATTGAACTCATGATCTGCCTGCTTGCAAGGCAGGTGCTTATGCCGCTGAGCTAAATCCCCAGCCCCACATACATTTTTAATGAATACATAGGTAAAAGATAAAAAAAACCATAACTTTAAAGAATATCAGCAAAAATATATAAGATGTCAAAGGAACAAGTCAACTGTGCAAAGAATAAGTGACATGACAAGCTGAGAATCTTGAGAAGTTGTAAGTTAGAAGTGAATTTAAACGAAGTAAATTCTCAGCTAAAATTTGATTAGTTAACTACATTATTCTTTTGCATATCTATCTATCTATCTATCTATCTATCTTATCTATCTATCTATCTGTCTGTCTGTCTATATATATATGTAGTTTAAGCTGGCCTTGAAATCACTTTGTAGCCCAGGCTGGCCTCAAACTCACAACATTCCTCCTGCCTCAGCCTTCTGAATGCTGGGATTATGCATATAATGCAGGCATGGTGCACCACCATGCCTGGCTGATGTTTTCTGGCTGTCTTACATATTTTTACTTAAGTCCTTTGTGTTTTTTACTCTTTTTTTTTTTTTGCCTATATATGTATAAGCTTTTGGAGGATAGTATCTAAGTGGCCTAAATTTTGTCTATCTAGGGATGTATAAAAATCATATAAGGTAAGTATTTTAAAACTTGGGGTGATTCACTTAAGCATTTTTGTTCCTCTCCTTTATACTTTTCCTGACTTTTACCTAACTGAAAAAGAATACCAGTAATGCAAAAGTTTGCTTATATAGAAGATGTTCTTCACATCTTGGTGTTTCTTGGCTATATTCCAGCAGAATTTCATTGTGTGTCTGAACTGTCATAGTACAGCGTACATATATCTATTATATTACTTGTTTTGAAGTTTGTTAATTTTATTTTTATGTCTTTTCCTGTAGGTTCATGCGTTGCTTGAGGTTGAAGTAATTCTATTGCTTGCCTTAATGCCTTTACTGCTTGGTACTGTACTAACTGATAGTAGATGTTCAACAGATGTTTATGAATTGAATAAAACAGACCTGTCAAATGCAATTCTTCTAGGTAGATTTCACCTGATTTCTAAGTTAGGAAGAGTAGAAAAAAGTGTGGAAGCTCACTGTGGAGCAGTACTTGCAGGAAGATGGAATTATGAAGGAACAGCATTAGTTACAGGTAAGTTGCAAGATGACATTTGTGTTTTTTTTTTTTTTTTTTTTTAAACAATTTTTGCAGTGTGTGGGATTGAACCGAGGGGCGCATACATGCTAGGCAAGTGTTTTATCGCTGACCTCTGCCTCTACTTTGGATATAGTCGTTTAAATGAATCTTTAAAAGAAAGTCTCCAAAACAACAGAATATTTTCATTCAGCAATAGTCTTTTACAGTGTAATAGCAAGTAACTGGCACAGTACTAATCTGCACTGCTATGTAAGTATTACAATTCAAAATGTCTATTGTTAGTTTTCTCATATGACTTTTGGAGACTGTTCTGTTAAATAGGCTTTTAGAATGGTCAAATATGGAATAAGTAAATTGTAATTCTGTAAAATTCCAAAATTAAAACGTTCACTTAACTGACCTTTATTTTTCTTCTATTTCTCTCTTATCCCTGTCCTTTGAGAATTCTCATCTTTACTTATTATACCAATTATTTATTGTACCATCACAAATCACCCCAGCAGTTGATGAGTTAACATGTAGGATCTGACCATTTTTGTGGTCAGGAGGCAGTTTAGATGGATAGTTCTTTCTGGCTTAGTACTTCTAGGTGTTATGTGGGGCTGCAGTCATAAGAAATTGACTATGGCTGGAGGCTCCACTTCCCAGATGGCTTACTCACATGGTCTTGGCAAGAGGCCTTAGTTTTTCTCTGGTTTGGCAGAAGTCCCTAATTCCTTGCCACATGGATATCTCTATAGTGATACTTGAGTATTTTTATAACATGACAGGTGGCTTCTCCCAGTGATTCAAAAAAAAAGCAAGATGGAAACCATGATATCTTTTGTGACTTGCCCTCAGAAATCATGCTCCATTATTTCCATCACATTGTGTTCATTAGAAGCAAGTCACCAAGTGCAGCCCACACTGAAGGAGAGAAAAATTAAATTGCACTCCTTAAAGGAAGAATAAGAAAGAATTTGTGTATATACTTTAAAACTACCCATACCTATTTCCTGGGCCTTCATAGTAGAAGGACTTTTCTCAGTGAATTGTTCATCTCTCACTTGAAATTTTAACAACTGCTTTTATTCAGTGGCTTCTTTATTTTTAGCATATAAATACCTTTAGATGTCACTCATTTTAAAAATTAAGAAGGAAACCTAAAGCCCAAATTGGTCATATAATTCATTGATAGCATACTTAGCATGCGTGAAGCCCTGGGTTCTAGAGCTACACACAAAAATAAATTAATTAAAATAAAATAAAAGTTCCTCTCTTAAACAACTCTAGCACAACTTCCTCTTCTTTTTTTTTTTTTTAAAGCCAGTCAAATTTAGCAGTGGGGGGGTGGTATACCAATTTTAGTGACACTAATGTTAATAAGTTCTGATAACCCACTGCCATCGGACCAGCCAACTTCCTCTTCTTTTTCAGCAAAGCTATTTTAAAGAGTAGTCTATTATTTCACTTCATTCCATCCTCGACTCATTGGAATTTAACTACAGCAGCTCTCCCTACACTGAAAATACTTGTTAGAATTCTAAAAGGGAGATTACAATGACAGTGGAAACAATATTTGAGTACATTTATTAGTCATTAGCAAAATTAGCAAAAGAATGAAATTAGCAAAAATAAATTCAGTTAGGAAAGTTAGAGACTACCTTGATAAAATTGTGTCAAAGTAATTTCCATTTCATTTTATAGTTATAAAGCATTCTGTCTTTTAAATTTTAAACATACACTAATATACTCTTGATTTTACTTGCAAATTTGATGCTTAAATTTATTTCCTATAGATGAAAATAATTTTGTTCTCTATGCAGTTGGAGAAGATGGACAAATAAAAATTTGGTCAAAGACTGGAATGCTTAGGTCAACTTTAGCTCAACAAGGTATGTTTTATAATTGATACTTTTAATAGTTGATAATTTTATCTTTGAAAATTGTGCAGTATAAAAGTACCTTTAACATTTTTCTTTAGAAGCAATTTAATACAGTATGAGACTGATTTTGATCATATTTAAAACTTTTCTTCTTACCTGCTATACTCTGGTATTCATATTATTGAAGCTGAGGAACATAAGAGATACTCCAGTACTTTCTGTGTTTGTGGAAAGGTAATTACAGACTATTCTTTTAAAATAATTTTGAATGGGCTGGGGATATAGCTCTGTCACAATGCCTGCCTAGTCCAGAGTCCAGGTCCTAAGGTCCTGAATTTGATTCCCAATGCCAAAAGAAAAAAAATTTTCAAAGCATTTGGTTCATATTTTATGTAAATTAGAGTTAGTTGTCTAAGTAAATCATAGTAGGGGAAGTCATTAAAAAGTATTTCCTGGGGCTGGGGATTTAGCTCAGCGGCATAAGCGCCTGCCTTGCAAGCAGGCAGGCATGAGTTCGATCCCTGGTACTGATAAAAAACGAAAAAGACAAAAAAAAAAAATTTCCTTATTAAAAAGTTCCAATAGCTGTATAATATTAGGACCCCTACTCCATTATGTTGTGCATTTGATTTCTATCCTAATGGAGGGGAATATAAACACTAATGATCTGGAATTTAGTAAACCTCACTGTTTAAGGGAGCATCTCAGTGTTCCATATTAATGAACAGGGATGGCAGTAAGTTGCTTTCTTAGTTGTTCCTAATGAGATTTAGATTATGATTTTCTTCTAGAACTGATTTTTTTTTTTGGTACCAGGAATCAAACTCACAGCCTTGCACTTGCCAAACAGGTGCTTATGCCACTGAGCTACATCCCTGGCCCAAGATAACCGATTATTTTTTTAATTATATTTTAGGTAGGACTGTAGCATGTTTTAATGTTGACTTGAGCATACAGGCGCTGATTTACAGAGGCCAAAATATTTGTAAGTTATTCTTCAGAATTATAGATAAAGTTACAGTATGAAGCATCAATAACTGACTTCTAAAAACTTACAGATTCCATTTTAAAAACAATGTTTACTCTTAGGATCATGTTAAAATCACATTTCCTTTAGCTGGGCTTTAAACAAATATAAACAGAAGTATCCAGATGTTCAAGTAGTGTTTTTCTTCTGAAGTTAAATGTTTGCTACAGATAATCTTCTTTTATACAGGTAATCAAGTATAGTATTCATGAGTGGAAAATTTATTGTTGATAGAGGGAGTCATAGTTGAATATCAGTTTTTTTTTGTTTGTTTATTTTTTGTTTTTTTGAGATAGTCTTGCTGTGCCATGGGAGCTGACCTTGAACTCACTTTGTAGCCCAGGATGGCCTCGAACTTGTAACGATCCTCCTGCCTCAGCCTTCCAATGCTGGGATTACAGGCATGTGCCACCATGCCCAGCTGAACATCAGTTTTAAAGTCAACTTATTACTTTATTAATAAAATGATAAAATATACCTTTAGAAAATAAATCTTGCCAGCTGTAGTGGTGTATATTTATAATCCCGGCATTTGGGAGAGTGAGGCAGGAGGAATGCTCTGAGTTGCAGGCAAGCTTGGGCTACATAGTGAGTTCTAGTCAAATCTAAACTACATCGTAAGATCCTATCTGGAAAAAAAAATAAATAAATATTACTTTAATCTTTTAGTGACCATGGGAATTTGATTTTGGCTTTATAGATTTTTTTTTTAATTGGGTTTTGAACCCTCGCCCTTGTGAATGCTAGACAAGTTCTCTACCACTGAGCTGTAACCCAAATTCCTATAGACTTTTCTGTTAAAGCCAATTATGTGAGTTATGTAATATTCTTACTTTGATACATGATTTATGAGCATTTGACAATATTCTTAGAGAGATCACCAAAACCTTAGAAAGACTTCAGACAATTTCAGTTTTTGACTATTACTACTACTGTGACATCTTTTTTCTTTATCAATTTTGTTAACTGTAAATGACATGTATCCTCAGAGAAATTCTGAAAGTTTATCTCACTGTCCACCATAGAAGATCTGTATTCTTTCCTAGGGTCTTTCACCTTCATAATCAGAGAAAGTCTTTAGTTACTGATCCTATTATTATTTTTGCAGTGATGGAGACTGAACTCAGGGCCCTGACTATGCTAGGCAAACAATTTACCACTGACCAGTCAGCCCCAGCCTCTGATAATTTGTAAACTTTCTTTGATAAGTTTTGAGGGTGGTTGTATATCTGAACTACTGAGACCAAGATGCGAAATACTTAAGGCAGAATATAAGGTAGGTGCAGTGAGTGACTCCTGCCTCCTTTGAAGAAAGAAGCTATAACTTTAGATACAAAATAAAACTATGTAAACTCAACTTATTGTTAAACTTGAAATTACATACACAGTTTTGAAATTATCCTGGAGATTTTTATCATGTTTCTTATTATTCTTTGATAATTGAAAGGAACCCCTAAAGCTTCTGTTTTCTTAGATTATTCTCAATCACTTCTTTTGAATCCACCATTTCAGACTTCTCAAAGTCTAAAGTGAAAACCTGGAATAAATTGTTTATTATAAGCATTGTTAATAATAGTCAGTACTGTAGTTTATCTATGCATATAATGGATCCGATAACCAACCTACTATTTATTTTACTCTTAAGGGCAAAATGCTTCAGTGTTCCCAAATTTGCAAGGCCAGGTTGGAAACACATGTTTACAAATTAGAGGCTTCCTGTAATATCAGAAATTACAAACATGTGGCCTGTAAGTTGAACCTGTCCCACAGGGTATGATGTAGGCTCAGTTTTAAAATCAGGAGACTTAATTTACAGATTTAGATTACCTTTAAAAAGTTGGAAGATATGGCAATATTGGGTTTGCTTTCTGGCATAAATATAGTGAGTTGGGGTTTAGTAGTGTTGCTTCATTTTTAGTTGGATTTTTAAAACTTCTTTGCATGTTTTTTATCACACTACCCACTTCACTCATTTGTTTCATGATATAGCACAAAGTAAATCTCTAAAGGGATTTGAGTTTGTAATTGTTTCAGTTATAGTAATAGTAAAATTTGAGGTTTAGTATAAGTCTAATAAGCAACACTTAAGTCATTTTACTTGATTTTTGTTTTAATTTAATATTTAACAGGTAATATATTACATGGATAAGAATTTGAAGCATGAAAATGATATCATGTTACTTTATATCATTTTTTGTTTTAAAATACTACCTTTGTCTCTCCTTTATTCCTGTTTTAGCTATGCAGCTCACATTCCTACCTAGAAGCAATTAGTATTACCATTTTCTTTTATTGAAGTTTTTTTTATCGGTACCGTTGATCAAACTCACGACCACATGCTTGCAAGGCAGGCGCTTATGCTGCTGAGCTAAATACATTTTCTTGTGTATTAAAAAATATTTATAGAAATATATGTTTATATATATTCAAATATATATGTATAAACAAGTGGTGCATACTACTGACATAGGGGAATGAAACGCCCAACTACTATGTCTGTGAGTTCGTGTTCTCAAAAATCGAAGAATGAATTTTAGGAACAATGAAGGTAAGAGTAGAATATATTTATTGAGAGAAAGAAAGCTTCCATCTGAAGAGAGACAGAAGGGATTCCGAGAGGGTTGCCAAGGACTCTGTCTTTTTTAGGGACTTTATTTATAGAGTAAAACCATGGGTTCAAGGTGGGGGAAGACTGGGAACTCACAAGGCAAGTTGGGCATAAGATGGGCATTAACTGTAGTTAGCCAATAAGATCAATAGTTCAGGTAAAATTGATTACATTAGGAACAAATGTGGAAGTGAGTAGTAGAAAGTGGGCATTCTTACAGAGCAGTGACTCTTTCCTTGGAACTATTTAGGGTGTCAATCCCAGGATATGGGTGCATTTGTATGGTCTTTTGTCGTGAGGCCTGGCCCACAGCAGGAGGCATCACCTTCCCGCTGCTGCCAGGTGTTTGCCCTGGCTCCATTGAGGACCTAGCCCTATCTCACTGCCCATAGTATTTTTAACTAACTCAGCTGCCTGCAACACTACTGTAGTGCTGTTTGCTTTTTTCCCACTTGAATCATAAACTATTTTATAGGTTATTTGCAGCATGTAAAAGTTGTCCTCAAAGTGTTTTTCTAAAGTGGATGTACTAATGTACCTATCAGCAGTAGATAAACATTTCAGTTTTCCACCTCCTAGCAAATGTTTGTCACTGACTTTGGTGTGTGTGTGTGTGTGTGTATGTGGAGTGAGTGAATGAGTGAGAGACATCGAGAGCGAGAGCCAGAGAGAGAGAGAGAAAGTGAGTGAGTGAGAGAGAGAGAGAGAGAGAGAGAGTGTGCGGCACTGGGAGTTGAACCAGAGCCCTACAAATGCTAAGTGATAGAACTGTGGGGGACCGGCGGTGGCTGAAAAGATAAGAAGTATGAAATATAAATGACCTTTATTTTGAGAATGTGGGGAGAGACACCCCCGATCCCCTGGGGCACAGCATATACCCCCTCATCTCTCCGTGGAACACGTGGAGTGGAGGATTACCTGTAGCTTAGGTTAGGGGTGGTGCCTGAGGGGCATTAGGGCTGCAGAAGTAGCCCATTGGTATTCTTTTGGCACCATAGGTAAATTCCTAGGGGTGGGGGAGATAGAGTCACAGGTAAATCCCTAGGGGTGGGGTAGGTGGAGCTCTTTGGTTCCACCTGAGGCTTTTCCAGCTACAGTGTCTGGCCTGGGCCAAAACTCTTTCACTAAGCATGTGGTCTGCTATTGAGCTATACTCCTAGCCTTTGTCTATTTTTTAATTGTAATCTAGAGTGGATGTGAAATGGTATCTCAATGTGGTTTTGATTTGCATGTCCCTGTTGATTAATAACAGGGACATGCAAATCCCTTGAACATCCTTTTATTTTCTTCTTTCTTTTTTCACTTTATTTTCATTTTCTTGTTAGTCATTGGTGCTACTTAAGCTTTTCTAGTAAGACATACTTTTCCTGTTTC